TGCTTCACAGAGTTTAAACACCTGAGGAACGCACTGCCCATTCAAATCCTATCCATGTACTTCCTGTCCGAATCGCTCAATATGAAGTACAATGATGAGATGTCCACGGAAAAACTGTTGGTGACATTGAGGAGTTCCAAATCTGTGCATGATAAACACTTAATCTGCAACTAATAACTGTTACTTCTCCACAAAACCAAAAGCTTTGTAATTGCTCTTTTCCACATTTTCCCTCTTCAATATTGGTAAACTGAATTCACTTCCATTCAAATTAAACAAAATAAGATTTTATTTATCCAAGAATTTTACACTGAATAGCTCCCTAGAGGTTCTCCATTTTACTGGCTTGGGTGTTACTCTTTCCTTTAGTTTATTAGATCGACAAGGTTAATTTTAAAACAACCTAGGGAACAATAAGTGATTCTTGGAAGGGCTACCGTGATGCACATATGGTCGGTCATCCATTTTTTTATGCATATGTTCTTGTGAAGGGACTTTTTGCATTCATTTTGATAACTTCTTAGAGTACAAAAAATACACTGCCAACATCTCTTACATGTTTTGAAACGTTATCATTAGATGGAATGCTTTCAGTTCTGTTCTTCGTACAAGTGAATGCTTTGTTTAGTTTAGCTAAAGCAATTTGATAAAATGGTATGACTGTTTATTGCCAACCTTCTCCCCCTCTTTTCATCTGAAATCCAACCCAGGACACACAGCATCTAATTAAATTCATACAAAGTACAAATTATTGAACAGAAACCAAAATGCATTTCAAAGTAAATATCAATTAATGTGATATCCAATTCTTTCCCCTTTTCTAATCACGCCAATGTGCATGGCCTCTATATAAAACACACTCAATTTATTTCATAGAATTCAACTAGAATATACTTTATATTTTAGTTCAAGAGTCCAAGCAGGCTGGTTGGGCATATTTTCTATTTATTTTTAGCTCTAGCCAACCTATCCCCCAAACCAATGGTAAAATAAACTCATCCTCAATCTTTTTTTGTTAATTTGAGAAGGATTCTTTGTTTTTCTTATTTAATAAATGGATCTGTGCTGCTCTTGACAACAGCATTATCTTTTTCATCCTTGTTTCCATGACAGTGAACAAACAATAGAAAACTATCAAGTCCTGTACACAGAAATTCTGATGGCAATGTGCCAGTCAACACAGCTTGTGAGACAAGGCTTCAAATAATAAAAATATGTTCAACAACACTCAACAAATGATCATCCATAAAGTGATAACACTTGGAACAGAGAGCAGCAAGTGACTAATCAGGCACAAGAGTGGCCAAGTATAGCCAATAGTGAAAGTAAACGGCCCCTTGATTTGTTTTATCTTGGAGAGGCCAATGATCAAAGCTATTTCTACAGAGAACCTGGCAGGTAAAACTGATTCCAGGAGCCACGATGATGGCATCTTGCTTATTGTACACTTGTCTGTCATTCATTGAGCAAGCATTTACTAAACACCAACAATGTGGAGGCACTGAGCTTGGTTTCCGAACAAGACAAAACAGACAAAGTTGACAGCTTGAAGGAGCTCAAAATCTTCTGGGAAGAAAACTAACTCTGGTTTTTAGTAAGGGAAAGCAACTTCGGGGACTTATACCACAAATTATCACTTGATGGTTATAAAAGACATTTAATTATTAAAGTGAAAACCACTGAGATAAATTAAGAAGAAATTTCTTTTCAAGGAATGTACAAGTAGTTGCTAAGGTTTTTAATTTTATCTATAATCTAGATTAAACTGATTTATTTGAGTACCTAGGATGATCCAGGTACTGCTACCAAAGACCATCTCTTTCCATTTCTCTTAAGGCGTTTAAACAGTGCTTGCAATGTAACAGACATTTAACATTTTTGCTATAAAATACTGATATATACCTTACTGTGTTTTGAGTTAGATGTTTCAAAGGAATGTAATCCTGGGGAACCTAATCCTGTTAGTTATTCAAATTATATATGTTGGGGCTAACACTGTGATGTAGTGGGCTAAGCCTCTGCCTGCAGTGCCAGCATCCCATATGGTCACAGGTTCAAGTCCCGGCTGCTCCTCTTCTGATCCAGCTCTCTGCTATGGTCTGGGAAAGCAGTAGATGATGGCCCAAATGCTTAGAGCCCTGCACCTGCATGGGAGACCTGTTAGAAGCTCATGGCTCCTGGCTTCAGATTGGCCCAGCTCTGGCATTGTGGCCATTTGGGGGAGCGAACTAGCGGATAGAAGACCTTTCTCTCTGTCTCTCCCTCTCTCTGCCTGTAACTCTCTCAAATGAATAATAAATAAAATATTTTAAAAAATTATGTGTTTACTTCAGTTTCTCATACCTACAGTTTACATTAAGCAATACATAATAAATAAAAGTCTACCTTCAAAAAAGTGTACAACGTGGGGTTTTTTTGGACATCTTCCTGAATATCAATATTCAATACATGCATAGTACTGTGAAATAGAGACTTTGCACTGTGTTCTGATTCTGATGTACATCTCTCTCTAACTTTGGTCTTCCCAGTTCTTTCACTGTGTGATAAGGTCATTAAAAGAGCATGTTGAAGGACTCTCCGGGAAATAAATTAAATCTAGCCAAGGGTTTCAAGGTTTTCTTCAGTCCTCAGACAAATGGAAGACAAGCAAGGCAAGCTCCTTGAGGCCAGCATGCCTGCTTCATCTTTGTCTTGCTCTCAGAGTTTGCTGCAGTGTGCTCTCCAAATGATTGTCAAGGACAATGACAGTCTGGGGCTTCTCCTTTTCTCTCCAAGGCAGCAGCCAGGAGGTAAAAGAGGCTAGCCTGCATTATGAAAAGCTGTCACTCAGATCTCCCCCTTGCCGAAGGTAGGCAGATGACTGGGTTTTGCACGCCTGGTTTGCACTCTTCAAATATTTATAGATAGTTCTCTTTGCCTCCAGCCCTAGTTTGTCACTTAGCCAAGTTATACTTATATGGTTCTTTTAATCTTTCTCAGAAATCAATCCCACTAACCTCCTTAATCATTCTAGTTGTGTTTCTCTAAACTTTTGACTGTTTGTCTTTCTGGTGATTTACTGTGTTGAAATTCACAAAAGTAACTGGAGTTAGAATATAGAGGGATTTAATCACCTTTTTATTTTAGGGTTCAATGCCCTTTATGTGCAAAATAAAATTATTTATCTTCCTTCCTTCTGTATCATGTTTTTAAAAATTCATATTTAAGTTGATGGATCAATCAATACATTGCAAGAGAAAGGAAGAAAAAGTATCATCAGTATTATATTCTCCAAGGATGATGCTGTCATTGATTGAACCCTCTTACGTGTCTATAACTGATTGATCTAATCTGCAGTCCAGTCTTCAAATGACAGGGAAATGGGAATCCAGAGTAAGATGGCCACTACAGAGAGACTTAAGTGCCATCCTAAAGGGCTGTCCACCTGTGGACACTTCTTGTTAACTTCAGCTTTTTAATTAAAACAATTTAAAAACAAGGCAAATTTTGCTATTATAAAAGTAATAAATGAAAGGGGGAAAAACTACCCATAGTCTTCCCCAGAAAAATCTTTTAATAGCACTTGGTTATTTTTAAAATTGACAAACTTGTATGCGTTTATTGTGTACAGCATGTTTTGAAGTATATATGCACAATGGGATGCCTAATTCTTGCTAATTTACATATATCTTTACAGAGTTATAATTTTTATGGTGAGAACACTTACCATCCACATTCCTAGCATTTTTCAGTAATTCAATATATTGTTTCTTTACTATGTTAAACAAAACATCTTTTGAGCTTATTCCTTCTACCTACCTGACATTTGCATCCTTTGACTAACATCACCTTAAGTGTGTGGACCCCTTAGGTTGATTCCATGTCTTCTCTATCTTGAATAATGATGCAATAAACATGGAAGTGCAGACATCTCTTTGACATACTGATTTCATTTCCTTTGGATATATATACCCAGCAGTGGGAATGCTGGATTGTGTATCTGTTTTATTTAAAATTTTTTTTGAGGAACTTCCATACTGTTTTCTATAATGGCTGCACTATTTACCATTTTTGAATAATTCCATGTAACTTTTCTCAATGTATTATTTATTTTCCCCAATAAACATGATCATACCATTGGTACAGTTAAACACCTTGGCTTTTCACTTAATAGTATAACATAAAACTTCATGGTTTTCATTTTTAATGGTTACAGACCATTCCATCAAAGAAGTGAATGTGATGTAATTTTACAATTTCCTATTAACTGTTAGACACGTCATTTCCATTATTTATCTAATTTAAATGTCACAATGAAAGAAATCAGAGAAAAAATTTTCTGTATTTAACATAATTCCTAGATTTGTAGCAGTAAAATTAATCAGCAAAGGAATACACAGAAAGTAAATTTTGAGGTTAAAAAAAATCAGTGAAGGGGCTAGTGCTGTGGTGTAGCAGGTAAAGCCACCGCCTGCGGTGCTGGCATCCCATATGGGCACCAGTTCGAGTTATGGCTGCTCCACTTCTGATCCAGCTCTCTGCTGTGGCCTGGGAAAGCAGTAGAAGATGGCCCAAGTGCTTGGGCCCCTGCACCTGTGTAGGAGACCTGACCCAAGAAAGAAGCTCCTGGCTGCTGGCTTTGGATCAGCACAGCTCCAGCCATTTCGGCCATCTGGGGAGTGAACCAGCAGATGGAAGACCTCTCTGTCTCTCCCAATCTCTCTCTCTCTCCCACTCTCTCTCTCCGCCTCTCTGTAACTCTGCCTTTCAAATAAATAAATAAATCTTTAAAAAATCGATGAAGTAGTATTTGAAGTAAGAAACACCACCTTAAATACTAAGATTTGTCTTTTGACTCTGTTGTTAATGAATGAATGCTCGATATCTTAAAAAGCTGTACAAAATTGTCAAAGATGGCCAATTCCAATACATTAATAATTGTATCCATTAGTATTTTAACTCTTTATTCACATATGTATATGCTGCTCCCTTATTAATTGAACTTAAACTCTTAATCTTACCTAGGTCTACCATCAGAAGGCGGGTGAGGGCTGTGTAGAAGGTTGTTCGGCACCTGAAGTCACTCAGACTGTAATTGTCAGTGATGCCAAGAAAGGGGAAGTGTTCACTCTAACGAAAGCAAAAGAATATCCAAAGTTACTAATGCTTTACACCTAAATGATCTGGAAAATTCTAGTTTTTAACTATGGAAATAAGCCTTACCGTGTGGTTTTTTAGCATGAATTTCACAGCATCTATTTTCACAAGTTTTTTTAAAAGGATATAGGTGCTAGAAGTTAAGGAGTATGGGAAAATATATTTGTCTTATCAATATGTAATAAACCACAAAAAACACCAAACTATAAGGGCATCAATTTCTACTTATGAAGAATAAATATGGTTTCTCAAGGGTTTTCCTATAGAAATGTCTTTCATTTTGTTAAGAATGATAATCCATTATTAACCAGTGCAATTACTTTTTCTATCTTATACATATTCTAGTTATGGGAAGGAAGAATGAATTTTATAATTAAGACAAGAACTTCTTTACTATTAAAATCTTGATAGTGGAAAATTAAAATGACCCCTTTTTACATCTTGGGTGTAACTTGAAAATTTCTTTTGAAACAATGTTATTTCATAATAAAATAATTATAAAAGACCCATAATAGGCTATCAAGAAAGAAAATTACTCCATTCTAAGAAACGGTAGGCTCAGTTGGTATAAATCTAAGATTAGAATTGAATTAGGAAGATAGAGCAGAGAGCACATTACCAATGTTGAACGACAGGTTCAAGGAACTAATATTTCACAGTGCCTACTATGTGCAAGGCATTTTTCTATGTTAAGGCGTCTAATATTCACAATTATACTGTTAAATAGTACTCATTTCTATTCCCTAGATAAGTAAGAGGAAGATCAGAGAAGCTAGGTTGCTTGCCCACAGTAACACAGCTGAGACTGATGCTGCTGAGATCTGGGCCGAGGTGTGACTTCAAGGATCATGCTCTTTCACTGTGTCGTGCTATCACCTGAATAGTTCCACTCAGTGAGAACCAAGCTGAGGAATCATAACCACGATACAAAGTTCAAATTATTTATGGTATGAGGTGGGTTCTAAGTATATCTACTCAGTTTGCAAACACTCTCTGCTCTCACTTTATCATAGACACGTGCTCACTACCGTAGCTATCACATCACTACCATGTCACTATCATAGCTCACTACCGTAGCTCCTAGCTTGAGCATCTCTTGGCCATTCCCTACATTCTTACTATATCTTTCTTAGCTGTTGGCTCCATTCATATTACAATGAAAACACTGGCTCTTTTCCTTTCACTAATATCTGAATATAGAATTTTGTAAATTGTCTCAGTATACTGGCACTGAGAAGCCTAATTCTACATTTTACTTACTCAGGTATTGGTTTCAAAGAGTGGAAAACACATGGGAACTTGAATCAGGAAACCTGGGCTCTTTGCTGGACTACGCCATTCAGCCAGCTGGATGTGTCAGAGCACCATACCCAACCCACTTGAACCTTAGTTACCCTCTCTAACAAATGAGGATGAAACCTATGCCCAAGCTACTTTATAGGTTTGTTCTGAGGATCAGATGATGCAAATGTCTGCCAATTATAAATTAGGGAAGAAGAATAAAGATTTAGAGTTTACAGGATGTGTACTACCTAAAAAGCTTATTCTACAATTTCATGAGATAAAGCAGTATCATTTTTATTTTTCAGATGAGCAAACAAACTAAAAAAATTTTTTTACTTCCTAAAAAATAATTAGTATTATTTAGATCCAAATCCCTCTGACTGCAAACTCCAGTTTGCATATTAAGCACATATATTTGGTTCACCTCCATATTAGACTGCAAATTTTCCAAGGGCAGTGACCGCATCCAGGTACTTTCCTTAGTACACTGCTCTCAGCAGGACTCGATGCATTGTTTTTCTGGTAGGCTAAGGGTAAACAAGTTCAGAACTGATAGGTAGCAAGTTTTCCCCTGTAACCAAAGATGCAGATTTGATCATGTTTCAAAATCATCAATCACTGAGTAGAAGAACTGCCATTCAAATGTCACCCAGGTAAACAGGGGTGGGGATCAATAAACCTGCAAATATCTTAAGTAATTACCAAGTACAATTCTCTCAAAATTACTAAGTTAAAAGTGACAGGGTCTACCAGTAACAGGGATGCTGCCATTAATAGGAATCTTCCTGTCAGTGCTGTTAATAAACAGCCAGTCATGTTTTGACAATAGAATATTTATGGAAGCAATAAACAGAACATTCACAGGAAGAATCTCATCTGCCAAAGACACATTTTCTGCAGAACCGCATCTGTGCACTTTGTACCAAGGCCAGCCTCACTGCCTTCTAATAACATTTTCTAATTCTAAAGAAAAAAATGATTAAGAATGAATTTTTACTTTTTTCAATAAATAAAAAAATAAGAGTTCATCTGAATATTTATGTTACTTTATAGGACTTCAATTCAGAGTTAGTTATGGCTGTTAGGAGGCTCTGTGATGTTAACAAAAAGAAAAGCAAACAGACACATCATCTTTAAAATCTTTATACATTCATTTTCTTCTTTTTTTTCTTTGTAAGATTTTATTATTTGAGAGGTAGAGTTACAGACAGTGAGAGGGAGAGACAGAGAGAGAGGTCTTCCATCCACTAGTTCACTCCCCAGATGGCCGCAATGGCTGGCGACAGGAGTAAGGCTGTCTTGTTCGCAAATTACTTGGTAATATTGAAAGTTGTAGGGGGCCGGCGCCGCGGCTCACTAGGCTAATCCTCCGCCTAGCGGCGCCGGCACACCGGGTTCTAGTCCCGGTCGGGGCACCAGATTCTGTCCCGGTTGCCCCTCTTCCAGGCCAGCTCTCTGCTGTGGCCAGGGAGTGCAGTGGAGGATGGCCCAGGTGCTTGGGCCCTGCACCCCATGGGAGACCAGGAAAAGCACCTGGCTCCTGCCATAGGATCAGCGCGGTGCGCCGGCCGCAGCGCGCCGGCCGCGGCGGCCATTGGAGGGTGAACCAACGGCAAAGGAAGACCTTTCTCTCTGTCTCTCTCTCTCACTGTCCACTCTGCCTGTCAAAAAAAAAAAAAAAAAAAAAGTTGTAGGGGCCAGCGCTGGTAGCAGGTAAAGCTGCTGCTTGTAGTATCGGCATCTCATATGGGTGCCGTTTGAGTCCTGGCTGCTCCACTTTCCTCCCAGCTCCCTGCTATGGCCTGGGAAAGCAGCAGCAGATGGGCCAGGTCTTTAGCCCAGGCTCCGGGGCACAGATCTGCACAGCTCTGGCAGTTGCAGCCACCTGGGGAGTAACCCAGTGGATGGAAAACCTCTCTCTCTCTCTCTCTCTCTCTCTCTCTCTCTCTCTCTCTCTCCTTGCCTCTACCTCTCTGTAACTCTGCCTTTCAAATAAATAAATAAATTAAAAAAAAAAAAAGAAAGAAAACTGTATACTTGGGGGCCACCTAGAGCACTGGCATCCCATATAGATGCTGGTTTGAGTCCTGGCTGCTCCACTTGGGATTCAGTTCTCTGCTAATGCACTTGGGAGAGCAGCAGAAGATGGGCTAAGTGCTTGGGCTCCTATTCCCACATGGGAGACCCAGATGAAGTGCTGGGTTTCTGGCTTCAGCTTGGTCCAGCCCTGGCCATTGTGGATATTTGGGGAATGAAAACGCAAATGGAAGACCCCCCCCCCAAGGAGGGGGGAGGACTCTTTAAAGTCAAAAAATAAATCTTAAAAAAAAAAAGATATACTTCGTGGTTTGTACAAAAGTTACTATTTAGCATCGTGGTTAAAATGCTGGTGGTCCGCTATCACAGTGCCTGACTCTGGCTCTTGACTCCAGCTCTCTTTTTCTGCAGATCCTGGGAGGCAGCAGGTGATAGCTCAAGTCATTGGGTTCCTGTCACCCACATGGGAGACCTGGATTTAGTGTCTGGCTCCAGGATTTGGGGGCCAGCAAGGGGCCAATGCAGGCATTTGGGGGGTGGGCCAGCATGTTCCCTCTCTCTCTCACATGTGCTGGCTCTCACTCTCCCACTTCACAAATAAATAAATAAAAAAATTTTAAAAGGGAGATCCACTAGAGCAGCCATATTACAATGTTATACAACCATATTATTTTTAATGTACAGATTTACAGAAAAATAGTATATATTTTATTTGTGCTAAATTAAAAAATAAAGAAAAAAAAACTACATTAATGGAACAACTGACTTTGAGCTGTTAGGACAAATCTAGGAAAGAAAGTATGGAGGCCGGCGCCACGGCTCAATAGGCTAATCCTCTGCCTGTGGTGCCGGCACACTGGGTTCTAGTCCCTGGTTGGGGCGCCAGATTCTGTCCCGGTTGCTCCTCTTCCAGGCCAGCTCTCTGCTGTGGCCCGGGAGTGCAGTGGAGGATGGCCCAAGTGCTTGGGCCCTGCACCCACATGGGAGACCAGGAGAAGCACCTGGCTCCTGACTTCGGATCAGTGCAATGCGCCGGCTGTAGCACTCCGGCCGCGGCGGCCATTGGAGGGTGAACCAACAGCAAAGAAAGACCTTTCTCTCTGTCTCTCTCTCTCACTGTCCATTCTGCCTGTCAAAAAAAATAAAAATAAATAAAAAATAAAAAAAAGAAAGTATGGAATTAGTGGAATTAATACTATTCAATTGTATTAGAATTTAAAATCTATGAGGGTAGGGTCTGTATTTTATTTGTCCTTTTGCCTCACACTTAGTAAATGCTAAATAAGTATTTACTGAATTGAAAGAGGCCAATAAGATAAAGTAACTCATTATGATGAGAATGGAATTAATTAAAAATTCACTATTTCATTTCATTTTTTTGACAGGCAGAGTTAGACAGTGAGAGAGAGAGACACACACAGAGAGAAAGGTCTTGCTTTTTCCATTGGCTCACCCCGCAAGTGGCTGGTGCGCACTGGTGCGCTGTGCGATCCGAAGCCAGGAGCTAGGCACCTCCTCCTGATCTCCCATGTGGGTGCAGGGCCCAAGGACCATCCTCCACTGTACTCCCGGGCCACAGCAAAGAGCTGGACTGGAAGAGGAGCAACTGGGACAGAATCCGGTGCCCCAACTGGGACTAGAATCCGGGGTGCTGGCGCCGCAGGCGGAGGTTAACTCTAAATAAGGAATTCTAGTTATTGTATTTAACACAAACAAGCAAGCAGAGAAAGACAAATAAAGCCAGGAAAAGTACAGAGTTTAAAAATAAAATCATCATGGTTACCAAGTGGCTTTGATAGGTAATATAGT